AAGTGAAGGATTTCTTTTTCATATCATAGGACAGGAAAGGAACTTGCTCAGCATAAAAGGAAAAATGAGAAAAAAAAACACATAAATTAAAGTTAAGCATTTTCAAAATATAACAATTACTAAAAGCAAACAACAGAAAATATCTGCAAAAAAATCCTATATAATAAAGAGGTAATATGCAAATTAACCTTCACGCCCTCACAAGATGGCTGCCTAGGACCAGGCCAGCAGGGGGGTTAGTGGGGGACTACCAAACGACTGAACAAGCAGGCTGCGTGCGGCGACCAGGCCGGCAGGGAGGCCGTGAGTCACAAGATGGCTGCCTACAACCAGGCTGGCAGGGAGGTTAGTGAGGGACGATCAAAGGACTGAACAAGCAGGCTGTGTGGGACAAACAGGCTGGTGGGGGGGGGAGGGCAATTGGGGGCAACCAGGCTGGCAGAGGGCCCAGTTAGCGGCAGCCGGGCCAGTGGGGGGGCAGTTAGGAGCAATTAGGCCAGCATGCAGAGGCAATAAGGGATGATCAGGCTGGCAGGGGGGCAGTTAGGGGAGATCAGGCAGGCAGGCAGGTAGGTGAGTGATTAGGAGCCAGTGGTCCAGGATTGTGAGAGGGATGTCTGACTGCTGGCAGTTAGACATCCCCCAAAGGGTCCCAGATTGGGGAGGGTGCAGGCTGGGCTGAGGGAACCCCCACCCCGTGCACGAATTTCATGCACCGGGCCTCTAGTGAACATATAAAGGATCAACATCCTTAACATATGCAGATCAATGAACAATAAACAATAGTAGCAAACTTCAATACAAAATTAGGCAAAAGACAGGAGGCAGGTAATTCAAGAAGAAAACTAAATGGTAAATAAACAGTTGAGAAAACATACAATGTATTATAATAAAAATGCAAATTACAAGATGCCATTCTCGATCCTTCATGTTAAAAATTAAATAATGACTCTCTTCAATGTTTACAAAGTTGTAAAGATATATATTCCCATGCCCTGCTGGTAAAGGGATTAATACAATCTTTTTTTATAGTAAATTGTCAATACACATCAGAATTCTTCAAAACATAAATACCTTTGATTTAAAATAGGCAGTGGTTGTCAAAGTGTGGTCAGTGAATTCCTGGAGTCCCTGAGACTGTCTCAGGGGTCTATAAGGGCAAAATTACCTTTATGGAAATAGTAAGACATGATTTGCGTTTTCCCTGTGTGGTATGTGCAATGATAATGCAAAAACAATGGCGGGTAAAGTTGCCAGCTCCTGAGTACAAATCAAGGCCGGGCACAACTGTCCTAGGAGTCACTGTATTCTCCACAGTCACATACTTGCAGGAAACAAAAAGCCAGTTTTACTTAGGGATATCTTCAAATTTACTTATTAATACTCAACTTTTGAATGCACATCTTTTTAACATTTTATATGAACAAATAAGACATAAACACAAAGCACGGGTACTGCACACAGAAGTCTGATGGTTGTCTCAAGGAAAAGCACTTCATGCTTGTTTGAGAGCTGAACTAGCTGCTTTTTCCATGCAACACCATTCTTTCTGGATTAAATGATGGACAGAGTATGATTATTCAGATTTGGGTATCTGGCAGACATTTTCTCAAAAATAAACAACGTGAGCCTGTCACTTCAAGAAAAACAAGTGATAATATTTGTTACCAATGATAAAATTTGAGCTTTCAAGGGAAAATTCAAATATTGGAAAATTCTGTATCCATCACCATAAGCTTGACAGCTTCACATCTTACAGATTTTTCTGATGAGATCAGGGAAGATATTAACAAATGTGATTGCTTTCGATGCTATATAATGAAAGGTGGCAACATCTGGGAGACCTGTATAACTCACAACCAACATTTTGCAAGTGAACAATGCATGATGATAAAAGTCATGCATAGGTAAAAGATCCACTCAAAGTTCATGACAGGCCAATGGACTGTAATATAACAGAGTGGAAAGGGCCAATATACAGTTTCCCATTCCACATTGCAATTAACCTTTAAGAAAATACCACTTGTTGGGTTTTATGTAGCAACAAAAATATCCACAATTATCAGAAAAGCCGATTAGATTACTCTTCCCTTTCCAAATACATATCTAATTGAGGCCAGAGTTTCTTCATATTCTGTAGTCAAAACAACATATCAGAGCAGGTTGAAGGCAGAAGCAGATATCTTCCTTCTATTAAGGCAACATTTAAAAATTTTGCAAAAGTATAAAATGGCCATTTTCCCACTACTTTTCGAAATGATGGTTGTTAATCGAGTATGTTAAACATAACATGTTAACAAAAACAAGTAACATGTAATGGCTTTATTAGTTAATTTTTAAATAAATTAATCAGTAAATTTTCTTAAATTTCTCAGATTTAATTTATATTTTGGTAAATATCAATAGATATAACCAATATAAATAAATGTTCTTTTTCCGAGTGTAAAGAGATCTGCAGACGAAAACTTTGAAAACTACTGATATGATCATTCCCAATTTCTGGTAATCTAAAGTAAGAAAATAAGCAGACTTGGCATTATATACGTACAGAAATAATATTAAAAAATTAGAGATAAAAAAATTTCTTGATATCCAACAATAAGAAAATGGATGGTACATTGATATTGATTATTTGGAACACATTGTGAAGACTTTTTGAAGATAAGGAATGCTCACCATATGTTAATTGAGAAAAGCAAGGTCTATAAAGTATATCAGCAGAGACAGTACTATAGTGTGAAAAAAAGACTAGAAGGAAATAGATAAAATGTTAACAAAAAATTTCTGGGCTACAGTATTATAAAGACTTTTTTTCTTTCTTTTTTTTTACTGAGCATGTCCTACTTTTAAAATCAGAAAAATTAAAATTTTAGCAACTTTTAAAAACATTTTAGTACTTTGATTTTTTAAAGAACTTAACATATGTGAATGTCACCAAAAACAATTGCTGCTGTTATTATTAATAATTGATTAAAACTAATCAAGGCAGCTTACTATAGAATTCTGAACTGAAAATTATGAAACCTGTACTCAAGACAGTGTTTAGCCATTAAACATCTCTGGTATGTTTGACAAGTCACTTAACCTCTTTGAACCACCAGAAATTATCTTTCAGGTCCATACCCAACCAACTCTATCAAATCTAAAGATTGTGCAAGTCCTTTGCAAGGAACATCTAAAGTAAAACAGCGCTTGGCGAACACAAATACAGTGACCAGATGATGTTATAGAACTGTGCACCTGAAACCTGTATAATTCTATTAACCCGTGTCACCCCAATACATTCAACAAAAAGAAAAATAAATAAACATAAAATAAAGTCAAGCAGTGCTGCAGTGAAGCCAAGTCCAAAATCACACTCTTTATAAAATTTCCACCCATGCTGCTAAATGGCTCTTTAATTTCTTTTGCTGACTAGTGCAGCCTCTGTAAATAGTTTCCAGTGGAAAAGTTTGTGATTCCCCAAGTGGTATTTTGAAGAAGTGAAAAGTATTGGGGCATATTATGAATAAAAGGGGGTTGGGGGGGACATAGGAGAATAACCAAGACAGCCTAGTGCCCCAAACAAAGAGAGTCCTTCATAAGTGTACTTCCTACGTGCACAAAAGTATGGGAAGGCTTCCTCTATGGAGAGGACAAAGCATTTGCTATGGAGAAAGAAAAAGAATGAGCGAGAAGGAGAAGAGGGAGGGGAAAAAAGAAAGCAAGACTATAGTTGTAATATAAGTATATGAGAGAAGAATATCTAAATGTATGTTCTATTTTAAAACTATACAGAAATATCTACCTATTCCCTTAGCTGATGAGCCTTCGCCCATTCACTGCTCATTGGCAGAGTTGGCAACAGTTAAAGACAGATCATTAAATTCCAATTCATCAGTTTTGTTCCTGGTTAGCAAGTCTGATAAAAAGATCTTAGACTATAAAAGGATAAATACTACCTGAAATTAAATATGGTTAATTTTAGAAAGAGATCCCTTCATTTTACAGATTAGGAAAACTGAGTCCTTCAAAAAACTGAGATCATAAGACTTTCACTTATGCTCCAATTGTCCTTTATTAATACCAATTACCCAATAATCTCTCTTTCTTCAAGAAAATACTTCTATGGTGATGTCTGTTGAAGGACTGCACGTCAAGGACAGGGACGTCCTCCATTGGGGGCTACAGTGCTCAGTACCACAACACAAAATGGTACAAGTTGGAATTTGGTTTTGCGATCAAAGGAAACAAGCATTTTAATCTTTCAATATGTCACAAATATAATAACCGGCTTTGTCCTGGACTGGTTCTTTGTGTAATGTGTGGGCCTCAGTTTGCACATCTTTAAAATGAGGAAATCTATACTTCCTACAGTCCTTCCTTAGAAAGTTGGATAATCCTAAAATCACTAAAAATAAATAAATAAAATGTGTTTTGGGGAGAAGGGAAGTATGACATATACTTAGAACGTGTATACATATGGTTGTTCAAATGGCCAATCTTGAGCCAAGAGTGGAATCTCCAGGGTACGGTCTCTCTGGCTGGCTTGCGGACACTCGAGGGCCCTTCACTACATTAGAGAGCCAGCGTCACACAGGAGGCCCTTCTGGCCTGTGCTCCCCAGTTTGTTTCCTGGGGCCAATTGAAAAGGGTCCTCCATGTCCTCCTTTTGAATCTACAACTGGTGTTTCCACTTCAAGGGGGTGGTCCTGCCTCCTGTCCTTCATCTCCAGTATCTGTCAATTAACCACTAGACATATTATGGAGCACCTCCTATGTGCACCCATCATGAAGCACAGACCAAGTTTTCAGTGCACAACTGCTAACTTGAATTTAACTGATGCATCCAGTAAGACTCTCCAGAAGAAGGCGGGTGAAAGAAGACACCTCCTTCCCCACCCTGTCCTCCTAGCACTGACAGGAGTGACACGTGGTTCCCGAGGGCTGGCGTGGCCAATGGCCGCCGGGCACAGCTGCAGCCGGCAAAGGGCGGCGAGCGGGGAGAGGTGGGCACTTACCTGGGGAACCTCTGCTTCAGCTTCCTCAGGCTCTGCCTGGTGGGAGGCACAGACACTAGGCACTGGGCTATCTCGTCGTACTGGGCTTTAGTCAGTATCATGTTGGGCCAGTCTGGGAGGTGGCGGGACAAGTAAAAAAACACCCTGGGCTCCAGCAGCCTCGGTGCCGGGGGGACCAGAGGTGGGCACACAGGGGCACGGCACGGGGCCCCCCACTTCCCTGGCGGGCCCCCCAACCCTCCACCCTCCGAGGAACAGCCTAGGCTTCACCCGCAGCGCCGTGGCGGCGGGGGCGGGCTTTAGACCCGCTTGCCCGGCCCGCGCTTTCTGGGCAGCCGCAGTGGGCCAAGCCGAAGCCAACGCCGCCATGTCAGTTAAGGGCAAACCAATCAGGAAGCAGCGACCCCAGCGGAGGCGGAGCCTAAGCCTCTGCGAGCAGGTATCCCGGCAGCGACCACCTGGGATCCACCTGGGATCCACCTGGGACGGTCCGGGCGCTCACCCCGCGGGTTGCCAGCCTCAGTCCCGGCTCACAGACCCGGCAGCCAGGGCACGTGGGGCCCGCGATCCCTAAGCTTGAGCCCGCGGAGCCGCTGCCGGGGCGCGCGGTTTGAATACGCTTCCAGAAGCGCGGGTTTTAAAGCGCCTCCGATTGGAGACGGACGGAGAAAGTGCCGTCCCGGGACTCGGCGCCTCGAGGGCGGGGCCCAGGGCCGAACCCCAGCATCTCGGTAGACGCGGCGCCCGCCCAGCTTTTGCAGCTCGCGTGGCGGCTCTACGTGCTGGGAAACTAACTAGAAAACAAACCCGACGTCATCACTCAGCCCGCGGGGAAGAAGGCCCCCCCACCCCGCCCGGTTAGGTGCTGGCGGGCTGAAACCTCTCCTCCCTCTTCTCGGTCTCCCCAGCCCGCGGGGCACAGTAGGCGCTGATCGAATGTGGGGAGAAAGAGTCAAGGACGACTGCTTTCCTCCAGCCGCGGGGCGACCTCAGACCTCTCGAAGCACTTTTCCAGGACGTCAGATCCTCCTTCCATCGCTTTAAAAAATCATTTTGTTTCTTAGAAGGCCACGTGTTGTGTTTCTTTTCGAATTGTTAATATTTTCAGCAAATGAATGAAAAAGTGTTTGGTAGAGAACGTGTGGGGTTTTTTGTTTGTTTTCAATCTGGGATGAGGCCTGGCTTAGAAATTCAGCTTAGATAGGCCTCCTTGGATAAATTCCTTAATCCATCAAAGCCTCAGTTCCTTTGTAAAAAAAAAAAAAAATAGTAAGGTAGATGTTAAGCTTAAATAGGAAAGTAAAGAGCTCCTAGGCCCTTTGTACAGCAGAGAGCCTAGGTCAGTGGTTGGCAAACCGGGGCTCTTTGGTCCCTTTAGTGTGGCTCTCCCACAAAATACCACGTGCAGGCGCGCACATACAGTGCGGTTGAAACTTCGTGGCCCATGTGCAGAAGTTGGTTTTCGGCTTGGGCGAATCAAGTATACAAGATGAGTGTGGATGGGAGAGTTGGAAGGGGTCGACCTCAGCAAAAGTACCTCAATCAGGTTGAGGATGTTTTTAGCAAAGGCCAGCTTAGGAGTATCCTAATTAAGTTAATAACAATGTACCTACCTATATAGTTGTGGAGGAAAGGAGCCACATGCTGACCTGACAAGCTCAGAAGAGGCCTGCATAGCAGTCTTGCAAACTCAGAAACATAAAGTAACCACAAAGGATGGTCTGAAATTAAACTTTAACTAAAGCAGCTATGGTGGGAGATTGCAATGCATAAATAGAAATGTAACCCCGCCATTCTCTGGAGCATTATCCCAATTCATTGAGGTTCTGCTTCTCGGCATATGTCGACAGTTTGGCTCAAATAAACTCACAAAAATTCTTTACGGGTTTCAATGGTTTTTTACGTTAGCATAGTTTAAGTTTAAAAAATTTGGCTCTCAGAAGAAATTTCAGTCGTTGTACTGTTGATATTTGGCTCTATTGACTAATGAGTTTGCCGACCACTGGCCTAGGTAGACTACTTGATAATGATGGGTCATGGGGACTAGCATTTACCAGCTATTGTTTAACAGGCTCCCTAGGCTTTGACTCATTTAATCCTCTAACTTCCTGTGAGGCAGGTACAAAGCCATTATCACCTTCCCCCTCCCTTCCTAGGGGGTGAATAAACTGAGGCCTGGAAAGGTTAAGCAACTTCCCAGAGGTCAGGACAGCAAGCAGCATGCATAAAGCTTAAACTGCTGAAGTTTGGTTCCAGAGTCTGTGCTCTTGCCCACTCTCTTGTATTTAATTACGACACCAAGTAGTCACACTCTCTTAGGCCAAAGGGTAAGCAGTTTTTTGCACAGGAATAATCTACATTTCAAAGAATCTTTTAAAAAAGACTCACCACTTTATTTTCCTGGTAACAACGACGGATCCTGAATTCAGAAACCATGCTTTCGGTGTGTTTTCCCCCCCTGAATATTTACATCAGAATGTTTTCTTGCCATATGCTTCGCATCTAGCTCTGGTTGTGTGACATTAGTACATAACTATTTATTTATGGCAGCGTGGCCTGGAGTTGCCACCTGGCTAGTTTGTTGCTGACCCTGCCATGACTTTTACATGAAAGCTCGCTGACGATAAGCAGACACCACTTGATCCCCCATTCCATTCTCCCTCCCACTTCCCTCTTTCCGATTCACAGCCAACAGATTTTTATAGAAAACGTCAGTTCAAGGATGTTTGCACGAGTTATTTTTTATAGTAACTCTTCTCTCTGGCTCTTGTCCTGCATTCACCCTCACAACCCTTAAGGAACAGGCCAGGTTTGTTTTTCTGTTTTTATTTTTAACATGCTGGCAGTTTACAGTTTTGACCCAAATCCAGTAGATTGTTTAGAGTTAGTGCCAGGGGAAAAGCACAGTTATGTTGCTGTTTTTGTTGGCAGTGACAGTAGCGTTGTTTATTAAGCACAAAATAGAAGCAAAGCAGAAATGTGTTATTCTTCTTGTCGTCGTTGTTGTTTAGGTGTTTTTAAATGTTCTTTTCATGTGAATTGCTTGGAGTAAGCCAATTATTCCTCTGAGGCCCCCTTCCCACCTCCCTTTCCCTTCCTCCATCCTGTCCCATCTCTTGCATAGCACTCCATGCCCCTCATCTGCCACTACTCATCTACTAGCAAGAGCTGCCTTTCCATGCCCGAGGTCCCCCGCACTGTTTCTTAGTCAGACAGTCAGTAATACCAACCATGTGCCCGTTAAATGAAGTAGGGTCATGAAATGAAAACAATACCAAACTAAAAACCCGAAGAACTGGCTACCTGTTTAAAATTAGCTATAAATGGTGTGCCCTTGAGCAAGTGAAAGCTTTTCTAATCCTGAATGTGCTCAGTGTAACGCCAAGGAATGGAACTTTTCTCATAGGGAGAAAGTATCTAGGAACACGAAAAAAGCTTAGGAAATCGCAGCAGCAAAATGTGTCAAAGTAGAGACTGCTGCAGCTCCCTGGGAAGATGGGCTGGAGTGAATCACTTGACCAGATTTCTTTCTGCCGATTCCTGGACAACGTGAATGATGAATAGTTTTAAAGGAGTGTGGGGCTTGGCAGGAAGGCAGCAGAAGGTCATTTCAAGAAGAGTGCTAAACACAAAGGACTAAAAATAAGAGTGAGCCAAGTCACGTGCACGGGAGAGCTATTCTGGCTAGAGCAAAGAGTTCTAGACAGAGTGAAAAGGAGCTGAAGATGCTTGACTTTGGAAAGGTCAGTCACATTTTTGAACAGCCTGTTGTTCCCCGAGTCTGCCAAATCCAATGTGTGTTTTAAAAGTCTATGCTGAATATTATTTTTACTATATTTTAAAGTCTGATTCTGTTCATGGAATCTTGTTAAAGTCAACTTATTGATTATTTTGAAGAAAAATAATTGAAGTTTACCAATTGAAAAAGAAGGGAGTTAATGTTATTTAAACACCTATTATACTCAAACATTATCCCCTTAGCCCCTGGTTTTATAGGTTAGGAAACCGAGACTCCAAGAGAGCAAAAAGATTTGCCTGATGGACCCAGTTAAGTTGCAAAATCATGATTTGGTTGCAAGTCTGTCTAATAATAGAGCCTGGTGTTCTCCATTGCAGTGTACTGTTAACAAAGCAAAACCTCTTTGGTTGATTCGCCTCAGTTAAGCATTTATTTTCTGAAATAGCCCGCTACTTTCTTTGGCCACCGCCCGTGCCTGCTGAAGAAGCATTCAACCTTTGTTTTTGACATTTACTCATAGCGCATGTTTTCGAAGAAATGGTTTGGCCTCTGTGATTAAAATAGGTTGCATATTTTTTTCTTTGCCACATGAAGCACCACCTAAAGTGATGCATCTTTTGAAACCGCAGTTTACATCTCCATACTTGCCATCCACGCATGACAAGTCATTTTATCCTGGTCCCAAAATATTATGAGTACTTAGTGGACAATAAAAAGCAGAATACTTCACTTGTTGAGGCTCGCAGCAATGACTCAAATTAGTGACTTAAGGAATTAAATAGGGCAGACCAAAAGCCAAATGTGGTCGCTTCGTGCAAGTCGATGGTCATGAATTCTTTGTCCAACCAGGTGGTCTGATTCCAGAGGGAGGTTACTTGTTGATGGGAGTATTCACCGAAGGCCTGTTACAGATAGAAGCCATGTTCCACTTGCGCAGAATTCAGAATGTGCATGTTAGTCCATAATACTAAGAACCAATGCTGTGGGTAGACACAGTGCTCAGCATTTTATTTTTTTTTACTTTTTATTTTTTTCTCACTTTTTAAAATTGTTTTATTGCTTAAAGTATTACAAAGAGTATTACATACGTCTCCTTCCCCCCCCCCTCCCTTAACAATCCCCCGGCCTCCCCCCACAGTAAGCATTTTAAATACATCTATCTTCCCTTAATCCTCAGATCCAGTGTCAAGAGGTAAGTGCTATTATTGAATTCATTTCTCAGGTGAGAAACCTAAGACTTAGAGAGTAGGTTAGTCCTTATCAATTACTCGAAAATGAAATTTAAAAAGACAGAGACATATGAAATGCAAGCCCCCAATTAGTGATTACACAATTCAACAGACATAGAATTACTCTGTCAAATTGATCTAAAAGGTTCTAAATAATTATTCTCAATTTCCGTATTTATCACATAAAGACTCGTAAGAAAATTTGAGGATCGGCCCTGGTTTGCCTATTACATTCTGAGTAGCACTGTACTATTACCTTAGAAAGACAATTTGTAAGCCAGGCATGCACAAAGTCTAGGATATCACACTTCCACATACTCTTAGAAGCAAAGTATAACCTGTTC